TTTCAATTTTTATAAAATTTAGGCCGGCATTATAAAATTGGCCGGAATTAAGCAAAATTTGGCCAGAATTATGGATTCGAAAATCATCAATTTTAACCAATAAAATTTATTTTAGCCGATTTTGATCTACATACATAAATTATATAATTAATAACTATACGGCACCATAATTTTTAATATGGCTATCATAATAAGAAAAATTTGCCCTTAAATTTTATTACATGCGCAGTGATTGTTATGTAATGATCGCGTCTGGTTAATATAAAAGTTTGTTATATACAGTATTATGTAATAATCGCGTTTAATTAATAGTTTATTATATATAGTATTATATTTTACAGTATGTAAATAATCGTGTATAGTTAAAAGTTTATTATATTGTTTATTATATGTTATGTAATAATTCATAGTTTATTATATATACAGTATATCATGTAATAATCGCGTCTAATTAATAGTTTATTATATATATATTATGTAATAATCGCGTCTCAATAAAAGTAAGATAAAAAAATATATATACACCCACATTTACACCTACTTTCACCTGCTTCCACATATTTTTTCATTTTGTCTTCTATTTATTTTTTAAATTTTTTAAAAAATACTTTTATTTATTTTTTTTTATATTTTTATATCTTTAAAATAGAAAAAAAAAAATACTTCGCGTTGTAACTTGTAAGTGATTTTACGCGTCGTTAGAGTCCGTTGCCAACTGGCTCTTTCAAGTTAAAGAAGGTTTTAGGAGCATACCAACTATTTATTTGTTATTTATTAAGGTAAGCTAAAGATCCCTGCTTAGCCTTCGGTTTGTATGTGTGTGTGTGTTTTGTGTGTGCGTAAAACACAGGCTTATAGACAAAAAAAGCTGAAGGGAAGGAGAAACTGGCTTTCCTGGATGAAGGTTAGCCTATGTTTCTTGCTCATTTGTTTGGTATCCAAACCTTTCTGGATGCTTTTTTTTATGTAGTATGGTGGTGGTTGATTATTTTCTTCCACCGGTACCAACCATACTTACGATATTTTTTTAATTTTTTAGCTGCAACAACATTCAAACGATGGTATATAAGCTAGATGTAAAACAAGATGACATTAAGAACAATAATGAACAAGTTGTAAAAAAATCCACATAAGGAAAGTCTCGCATCTTCCATACAAATTAACAGCCGGTGAGAAGATATTTCTTAAAATTTCACCACAGAAAAAGTAGATAAATCTGTTACAAGTAAAAAAAAATAGTTTTTTCCTTTCGTCTTGTCTTTCTTTAGAACTGATATTAAACATTTACGTAATAATAGGTATATGAATCAAGTGATTTATTTATTTTTGGATTTCCATTATAATAAATTATATAATTAATTATGTTTAATAGGTCAAAATTTTTAAAATTCATTCAAAATATAAAATAGAAAATTCTAATTTATAATGAATTTACATAAAGGGAAATCATTTTAAGTATATTATTTATTTTGGCATGATGTTTTTAAATGTTTAAACTTTAAATGTATTAGCGATAAGTGTTATTACTTACAATATGGAAATTGATATCAAGCGAAGATTTGGTGGGATTTTCATCAAAAAATCTCGTTTATAATAAATCAAAATCTAAGGAATATGAATGTAAAATAAAAAATTTTTTTTTTTCTCTAAATTAATGGAAATTACATTTCAAAAATTATTCTTTCGTGTTTATTATTACATATTGATATATAGTGTATATACTGTATAATTATTTTATTTTATTCTCCGTTGTTTTCTTCATCAAAAATAATTGGAATACTGTAATAAATTTATTATAAAAATATATTTAGTCAAATTTATTCATCAATCTACTGAAATGAAAAATCTAATGATGTAACTTTATAGTAGTAAAAATTATCTTCATAGGTACTATTTGCATAATGAAATATAGTAGCTTTTTAATTATATATTTAAAAAAATTTATATACATATTTCTTTCAAATTTCATTCAGTATTTATTATAATTTATAAATTCTCCAGTTATTTTCTTTTCAGCTGATCAATGTTGAGATGTTTACTTATAAATTTTTTGAAGTTTTGATCTAGAATTGAAGATGATAAAAAATTCTTAATCTTCGTTCAAATCAAACGGTATTATTAATTTGCTTTATAAATAAAATATTATTTTATGAATAAATTAATTAAATTATGACAATTAGGATTCCTTATAACTAAATAATAATTTACGACTGAATTAACCTCAGTGAATCATATAATAAAGTTTTTATTTAGGATTCAAACTTAAAATGGATATCATTTAAATGGTCTTGATGACCCTCAAGATTGATGATTCTATTTGGGACCTCTTGAAAAAAACAATTATATGAAATGTGTCTTTTATGCCTTTATTTTATTTTAGTAACTTTATAAATCATCTGTGTTCACTACGCCACATTCTATTTACTAACAATACAAATAATTAATTAAAAATTTATTACGCTAAAAATTATTGTTTCTTTATCTGTTACAACAAAAATAAATTATTAAATTATTACCCCTGAATGATTTGCAAAATGACCTACGTTCATTCAACTTACAGATATTTAAATATATTCCTTTCAAAAATTCAAATGTATGTTTTCAAAATCGTTATTTTTCATCGTTAAAATTTTTTTTTTTCAAATATAATATATCTATCCAGTAATTTCATCACACCCAACATGTAAAAAATGTTTTAGTAAATATACAAATGTAGTGAATGATTGGTGTAAACCACGTAAAATAAATAATTTAAAAGAAAAT